TCAGAGCCTGGCACATTTCACCATTAACACATGTTCCTAACACCTCTGAAAGTAAAGATTTCACTAGCGAATGATCTCATGATTTTTCCCTTCAGTGATTCTAGGTAAGAAGTAGCCAGTGTATTGCACTGTCTGCTTTAAAGGGGAATTTCACCAATTATTCAAAATTTCTGCATAGTTCAATCATTAAGATGTGAGCAGTCATTCAGAGTGGTTTGGTGTGAAATGCTCTGTTCTAGAGAAACTTAGAGTCAGAATTATTCACAGTGTTAGTGATAGGAACCAGATGATTGAAGAGTTTATTACATGAAATGGTTGTGAATATGTTGCCTGAGAGTTTTCTACAAGTCTTTATTTCCCATATTTTTCTAATATTTACCATTATTTAAGGTTGTAGGCCTGAACTATGGTTTTGGATATTAAAAAAGGGCTATATTTGTGCTGTAAACATCAAGGCCCCTGTTTGCTATCAGTATCACTGTCAAGCAAATCCCAGTTGATGAGTTTTTCTACAGTGCCGCATTTCACATTAAAACCACTGTGACTGACACTGTTTACATCTTAATGATTTCATTATTTAGAAATTTTGAAGAAGCTGTGGAATTCCCCATTGCCACTCAGCTCTGATGATCCTCTCTCATCGTGGCTGCATATGGTTTGATTTAGTGGCAATGTACACGACCCTCAGACGGGTGCTATTAATGAACTCCGGGCTGCTTTCATTATGGGGTCCGAGTCTGTCCTCCTCTCCCTGTGCCCTCAGTTGCCATGTGATTTTACAAGATGTCTTTGTTGGATCATGCACAACTCCTGCTTGTGGTGCGTAGGCCAGGCTGCGTGAGGTTCACTGTGAGCTGTGCCTGGTTACTGTGTCTGGTGGCGTCCTTTTCGCTTACATTGAAGTCCGTGGAAGCAGTACTGTAGATTATAAGTATGAGATGCTGAACTAAAGCTATTATTCCAACCGATATGTGTAATTTGGTTTCGGTGGCCTGTCATATCACATGTCAGTGTTCATTTAGACACTTTAAAGGGGAATTCCACTGATTTTCAAAGTTTTTGTATAATTAAATGGTTGTAAACAAAGTCATTCAGGGTGGTTTCATGTGAAATGCTTTGCTCTAGCTTACCGAGCCAGAATTGTTCATTGTGGTGGTGATGGGAACCAAACGTCTGAAGAGTTTAATGCCTCTAAAAGCTCTCACAGAAAGTTATTACACGAAATGGTTACAAATATGATGTCTGACACGTTATTTTACAACTGTTTTAAGAAGATTATGGACTAAAATGTACCTTTTTAAACACTTTCATGACAGAGAGGTACATACATGGTGCTGTAAGACAAAATATTCCCTTATATATAGATTCTTAACAATTAACGATTTCACATTAAACCTCTCTCAATGACCTTGAAAGTTTAAAAAATCAGCAGTTTCTTGTAAAAGAAGTGATGCTGTAGATTCACCTTCCTGCAGAGTCCAGTTTCAACCACAATCTGCCACACCTGCTTTAGCTAATTAACTTCTTCAAAAGTCCTTGGTTTACTGGATCAGATGATAGTATAAGGTAAGCATTTATGCAGGTTTGGTCCACAAAAAATGTTACATTCTGTTCATGGCGTAATATTTGATCCACTGGATTATATTAGATTTATATATTATACAATGATAAAGGCATATCGCTTCTGTCAGAACAAAACCTTGTATCTCCATTTTTGTCATTTTTGACATGATTTGAAAATGCCTGTGGCTCTTTACATTGTGTGTAAATTTTGTTATGGTGAATGGACCAAAGGAAATGGCCCAGAAGTACTTGGAAAAAGTCTGGTTCCATTGACTTACATTAAAAGTAAAGTATGTTTTTTGCTTCGCCTGTAAAGTTATTATTTTGGAGATACAAGGTTTTGTTCCAACAGCAGCAATATAAAGTTGTTAAAGTAATAAAGTGTAAAATATGACCCTTAATTGAACTACTTAACTTGTTGCTTAGGACTAGAAATTAAAATGAAAATTATTATAGTATTAATTAGATATTAACATAATTGTTGCCTTGAAACAACGCATTTCTAAATGTTATATTCTGGTGCCATAGTTACCTCGGACATTCTTGTGCTCTGTTCAGATGAAAAGAGCAATGTCTTAATGGGTTAAATTAGTCCATGATACTAATAGCACTACAATGCACAGACAATGTGTAACATAGTCTGCTCAGAAAGGGCTGTAACTGTTTGATGAAATGGTAAAATGAGTTTTTGTAAAACTGTAACATCTGAAAATACTTTGGTGGCCAGTTCACCAGCTTCAACACAGTTTGGCAATGTGTTTACTGCACATAACATTTATAATAAGACATAATGTGGTTCCTATCTTTTAAATAATGCTTATAAACTTTTGCTTTTTTTACAAAGCAAAATCAGGGAGCACTAAAATAATTAAAGTTTTCATTTTCATCATGTACACCACTAGAGGGCACCATTGCCTAAGGTACCACAGGTTGGTTCATCTTCTGACCTGAGATCTTCAAAAAAAGACTTTGTACTACTGATAGAGAAAAAGTAAGGAGTGCAATCCAAGGAACTAAAGGGGAATGTTTGTAATGTTGATGAGGTTAAAATAGAAGTAAATCTGAAAATAATTGCCTCATAACACCCTCCAGGTTAAAATCCTCAAAAATATCATAAAACAATGTCTCAGGAATTGTCAGTGTATTTGTAACTAGTGCTTTCAATTACTCGCTGTGAGGGAGCTTTTAGAGGCATTAAAGGCATTAAAATGGATGTCTGGTTCCTATCACCACCACAGTGAACAATTCGGACTCTGTAAGTTTCTCTAGAACGGCGCATTTCACTCTGATTGACTTTAATTACATCTTAACCATTCAATTATGTGGAAATTTTTAGGCACAACCTTTAAAGTACAACCTTTCACAATCCAGTATAACCTAAAATAATGTGAAAATCCTTTTTAACCGAAGTGTTGTAAAGAAGCACCTGCTGCATGTCTTTTTTAGATCTTTATTGTTGTTTTTTCCACACTCCAGAGAACACTAAGAGTTACACAGAGCTGTGTTCAAGCCCACACAGAGAGGAGAGAAAGGAATACACCTCAGTCGGCAGCATCAACGTCACCACACAGTGCAACAGGACAGCATATTAACTTTATGCTGAAAATACTGGAAAAAAATACAACAAACGATTCAACAAAGACCCTCCGAATACTAAGATACAAAATACATATATGCACAATAGAGAAAAAAAATAGATCAATTGTAATCGGGCACCTTTTAAGGTTATGTAAAGAACTGGTGCTGAGGTAGACAGTACGATAAAGTAAAAGACAATAAATGTAAAACCATTTCAACACAGAGTACGCCGTGTCATCACGAGAAAAAAAAGAATGGATTTTTAAAAAATGGATTAAAAAAAAAAATCTATTTGGTCCCAGGTGGATTCTCAGTGCTTGTATTCATCAAATCGTATGACAATGGCACAGATAGGGGAGCACTGAGGGAAATGGCTACGTCCTGGCTGAAGCGAAATAAAACACAGTGAAGCAGGGATGCCATTTTTTTGTCACTTCTTTGCTGTCAAATAGGTTTATTGCAAAATGCTACCAAATACGCTCCTGCACAGTGTAGTTCGACAACAGTGGCTATTGCTGAGTGCCTAAAGGAGCTGATTCTATCAACTCAACGAAATAAACTGATAATGTTCGGTGGCAAATAACATCGATCGTTTTGCCAGACTTCACTGTACGTTTGTGCTCTGTGTGTTGAGAAAGAAAAGTGTCGGCATCCCTGACTGTCTCAGTGCACAGTCCACTTCAATGGTGAATTTCATCAGTATGTTCTAGAGACATATAACATTTTAAAGGAAAGTTCACCAATAATCAAATTTACACAATTTTCCCCTTAAATCAAATGCAATCAGCCTTCAGACATGTCTGGTGTCTGAAGTTTGCTTCTTCAGTTTTGCTCTGGAGTTATGAGGCTAATGTAGCTGTCAAGTAGTTGACATCTTTCTGAGTGACACAAACCTCTTTTACATTGACCCCAAATAGTACAAAGTAAATGTTCATTGTGTTGCGAGACACAACGTCAAACCAGGCGGCATTTATTTTCAACAGACCGATCCAAGATTTCCTTTTGGAAAAGTGTTCTTTAAAAAGGCAGCTAGTTATTGTTTAAACAGTTTCTTTGCAGACTTCTGCAGGTTTGCATCCACACTTCCAAGTTCATGATCCCATCAATGAACTTAAGCTCACCAACACCACTGTAAGAAAAACAGCTCTAGACTTTGGTGTTAACAACTCTGTGCTTTAAACTTTGTGCCATCTGGTTGGCATCCTTCTCCAGGATTTCTCCACACAGAGAGCCTACTATCTATCAATTAGCTGTGCTTAGTAGTTTAAAATCTTTTTCTCTCTTTGTTAAACATTTTCTAAAGCAACCTAATGAACTTTAGCTGAAGTAACCCAAAGAACATAAAACTGTAGCTTATCAATGGTTAAAGTGAGCCAAATACTTTTTGGGGGGCCACTGTACACTAGCCTTGTAGCTCCAGTGCAAAATTGGATCAACTATTTTTGGGACAGGTGGGAAACTGTGTAAATGAGATTTTCAGTAACTGTTCCTTTAAGGGTGAAACAAAAATCAATCAAAAATGAATCAAAGCCTTTTCTGTATGCATGGAAGAATGTTTTTTTCCTCATACATAGTGCATTAAAACACTAAATTGACCACAATAACTCTTTTGACTCACACTGCACACACACACACACACAAGAACCTGCATACGACTGTGGATTCGACCTGAATCCGACAGTCAAAATATGGTGAACACAATACGAGGACACAGAAAGAGTATTTTTGTGCTCGGTGACGCTGAACTCTAGTAGGCCTACGCTTCTTGGCATAAATTCACCCCCAGTCAGCCCACTCTCATTACATGGAATCACCATTGACGAAGAATTGACACCCAGCAGCAGTGACCACAATATAAGTTACAAACATCTACTACTGAACATTGTCAACATTGTAAAAGAGGCACGAGAAAAAATGTCACTCAAAATCAAGAACGAACACAATGCAAAAGTTACTGTAAAAGTACTCGACTCACTCGAATATTAACAAATGGACAGGGATCGCACGTTACGGCATACAAAAATACAACAATTCTTTTTTTGTACTTATCAAAGTGCCACATTTGGCTCTCGTCTGAAAGTAAAGATGCTTTTTTTCGCTAGACAGAAAAGCATCTTTCTCACGTAGTTCTTTTTTTTTTTTAAGTAACCCTACGTAGCAGTACTCCGTGTCCTTTCTACAATTCCGCTTCTGAATCGATTTCACATAAAAAGACAACGCTTTCATTCACATTGTTCAAGTTTATCCCTTATACCATAGCTCATAAATGCTTTAAGGTTATTGACCGTCCAGGATATGCAATCTGTTTCCAGCCTGTTAAATGGTTAAACAGACGAGGAGTGCGAATTTTGATGACAGTCAAGTAAAAATCAAGAATTCTGAGAATTAAGCGAAGGATGAGTTTTGATGAAAATGCAAAACGAAATCAAATGTGCTTTTGCTATTGTGCAAAACAAAGAGCGATGAAGAGGTAGCACTTAAATACAAGGTTGAATAGCGTAAGTTCTACAAGCAGTGCTGAACTTGGTAATACAACGCAAGGAGAAAGGTGCAACTCTCAGTGAATGGTGGTTATGATTATATAATTATAACAAGGCTAACAAACTGAATTAGCAATGTATAGTGTAGTAATCACCCTCTTGAATGCAGTAGAATGAAAGCGAGAGAGAGAAAGGAGGGTGAACTAGTACAAAAATAAATCAAGCATAAGAGATAATGAGGTAAAATTCAAGTAACACGTTTTGAAACAAAGAGAACAGAAAGAGATAAAAGCTATGAAAAAAAACGCAATGTCTGAACAGGCTGCAGCTGAATACTGCATATATTTCTTTAATCTCTTCTTTTCAGATTACTTTAATCTCTCCATTTAATATGTCTTTAATCTTTGCTTTTTAAAATTCAGTCTACTGTATAATTAATCAAAGGATGCCTGAACGTGACACCTACAATACCACGTGATACAGTCAATTAAACATCATCTATGTACGGCACACGGACCATCAAGAGCATGATGAACATGATTATGATCTAGCACAGCTCAAAATGAGTCTTTATCCGCCGATACTGCCTCAGCATCAGCGTGTCAATGATTGTAGGTGAAGAATAGCTCTGGCACGACTGCCTGTAGATGGTGAGAGAACGGTGGACAGCTAAAGCAAATCAAACATATCCACCTCTGTATTTGTCTGGATGTAATCAGCAAACTGTACATTGCGGCTGTGAAGTCAACTCAATGGTGAAAGTGCACAGTGTAGTTACTCTAATGTTTGAATACTTCTATTCAACATCCCTGAATGTCCTTGACATTTTTTTAGCGTAATGCAGCATAACTCGACTTTACCTGTGATTCAATGGCGTCCTTTAAGTGCTTTCAACACTCAAGTGAGACCATAGGCCTGCACTTTTGAACAAAATGTCTTTTTGATTGAATAAAAATAGCACTTATTTCAAAGAAAAACAGCCTAATTTGGCGCTCTTCAACCAATTATCTGTGAGTTTGGTTTCGGTAAACATTTTTCACTGATTTCATAGATGGTTTGGATTAGTATTCAACACTTATGGAACTTGTGAACTGAAGAAGTTATTTGATATTAAGAACAAAATGAAGTGCAAAAATGCTGTACATTTTTCAGTATAACACGTGGAATGAAGAGAGTGGAGTTTCTTGTCTTGTTAGTGGGAATCGAATGTGCTACACTGGTGGGCTCGAATATTATGAAATAGCATAAATCCCTTTATCGTCCCAGATCAATAAAAGTCTGTTTAACAAGACTTCACCCACATATTTCCATTTACCAATGCAAGAGCGCTGTAACGTCCCTGGAGATGAATTTAAACATGTGCATATCAAATGACAAAAAAAAAAGAATTCCGCATATTACATCTTCGATCACTTTCCTTGTCCATCTTTGGCCCAGGCTTTGAGCGAAGCAGTCGAGCGAGCGGACCGTGGGCACAGGTATCTACCTCCCTCTCTCCCTCTTTCCAGGCCTGTCCTGTGTCTCAGACGTAGCAGAGGTACAGGTAGGTCTTCTCTATCCTCCAGTCGGACGGGATGTCCTCGGGCTTGTGGTTTTTCATGTGCTTCTGCATGGCCGACAGGCTGGGGCAGTACTCCTGGCAGATGGTGCACTGGTAGGGCGAGGCGCCGTTGTGGGTGCGCAGGTGCTTGATCATGGCCGAGTAGTCGCGTGAACGCTGGTGGCACAGCTTACACTCGAACGGCTTCTCACCTGCGGAGAGCAAGGGAGAACATTTTAGCTGTCAATCGGCAGGATGTGCAGACCTGATCTGAAACATTAGTATCAGAGCCAATCCAGGCATATTTTAATAGATCAGTATCAGAAATATAAAACCTGATCCTTTGTAAAGGCTGTTTTACTTCTTTGCACTCCATTTACCTCCCTGTTGTACAGGTGAAATAAATGGACAATATTTATTTGTGCAGTTATGGTTAGCAAGCAGTTTGAAGGAATAATTTGGCAAAAAATCTAATTTACACAACTTTCCACTTCAACTAAATACAGTCAATCAGCTAAGACAAGTTTGGAGTCCAAATTTGGCTTCTTCAGTTTAGAACTAGAGTTGGAAGGCTAATGCTGCTGACAAATACATAAGTTTTGGTTAAAGATTTGGGCTATTTGGGTGACTATTGAGTTTCAGTGTTTGTATGCAATGTTAGTCTCACAGCTCCAGTTTTAAATTAAAAAAGCAAAATTTGGTCTTCAAACATGCCATGGCTGATCAAATACAACTGGGGTAGGTGAAAAATGGTGTAAATAATTTTTGCCTGACGTTTTCTCCTTTAAATGTTTACGGTGGGGATCTATTTTGAAGTGTAAAATGAAAACAGACACTGTTTGTAATATCTGCAGTGCCAGTGTTTTAAATTCAGTTCAACTATCAACCTTTTGTCAAAACGTGAGTGAATATTATACTCTGATTGGTAACAGTGCATTCATACAAACGGAGCATATTCAAAACACTATAAAATAGTTCAGTTAACTGAAATAATTGGTGGCACAATACCACTTGCACATTTTTTTCGATATTCATACTGAAATTTTGGGTACTGGCTGCAGTGTTGTGCAAGTGCTTGAGTTATTCGAAAGAAGTAAACTATGACATGGCTAATTACTTCTCTCAAACTGAGATTACTTATTACTTCCTGGAAAAAGTGATCTAATTACTCATTACTATACTTCTGTAATACTCTATAAAACCCATACAACACGTATCAGTTCTATGCCTCACACTATGCACATACTAAAAATGTGGCCTCCCACATAATCCCCTGACTGAAAAGCTTTTCTAACCTTCATTTACTTGAAGTGTGCATCTGTATTATCTATCACATTTGACTGATTGGCAGAAACTCAATATAAAGGACTTGGATCGGGACGGGGATCAGGGTTAAAAAAAAACCTGATCGGCATGTACCTAATTTGGACACAAAATCACCTACAAGATGACTCCTGTGTGCAAAAAGGGCACCTGCAGTCTGAAGTGGAAACTGCAAGCATGTAATGACATAAGCTAACGGGCTATCATTGTCCATGGCAAACTGATTATTGATCTGCCATTGACAGTGGGTGTAAATGTCAATGATTCCTCCCGCTGCTGGTCTTCAGGGCCGGTGGCCTTTTGCTGGGAACATGTCTCTGCTCTCGTTATCTATATGCGCCCAGTCCAGAGCTACAGCCTCGTTTGACAAAAAGAAGTCAATTATTTGACAGGCTACCTGATAGGGTGGCTTAGCAGCTGCCTTATTGAAGAGTGGAGAGGAGCAGCAATCAGCCTGTAATTCCACCTCAACCACAGAGTTTGATATGCCACCCAGGCACACTGATCTTACCTGTCAGTGCATGGCTAATAATGGGCACATAAGAAACATGATACAAATTTACCTCTAAACATGTCAAAATCAAAAGGGGGCTCATGCCCAACGCTTCTGAATCCCTTCTTACCAACACAACACATGGAAAGAGAAGCCCGACAATCGCTAGAGATCAGAGTTGTTTTGCAAAAATGCTGATTACACACTTTCTTTAATCGACTAGTGAATAGTTCATGCTATAGCTGTCATTTTTGTAGCCGCGTGGTTTATAGAGACAATTGATCCATCCATACTTCTGCTGCAGGGTTGGACAAGCTTACAGAACCAACATCCATGGTTACATCATCTTCTAACGTTAGTGAGGCTTATAATTTCTAAAGATTTCCACCTCTACATGTCTTTCTTTGTTGTGGTCACAGAGTTCCACCTCTTCCTTCCACCTCTACATGTCTTTCTTTGTTGCGGTCACAGAGTTGCCAGGTTTACTGATACAGCTAGAGCAACATATTGTCTTTATGTGCTGTAATACTGGTATACACTGATGAGCCAAAACATTATGAATATGCCTAATATGCCATTGGTTCTCTGTGTGCCGCCAAAACAGCTCCGATCCACCGAGGCATGGACTCTACAAGACCACCAAAGGTGCCCTGTGGTATCCGGCACCAAGACGTTAGCAGTAGAAGTCCTGTAAGTTGCAAGGTGGAGCCACTGCGGATCAGTCTTGTTGTTCTGTCACATCCCACTGATGCGGGATCGGACTGACATCTGGAGGACCTGGAGGCTGGGCCACACCTTGATCTCTTTGTCATGTTGCTCAAACCATTCCCGAACATTGTGTGCTCTGTAGCAGAGCATATTATTCCACTGAAAGAGGCCACCGCCACTGGGGAATCCCATTGCCATGAAAAGGTGTGCCTGGTCTGCACAATGTTTAGGTAGGTGGCATGTTTCAAATTTACATTCACATAAATGCCCAGACCCATGGATTCCCAGCAGAACATTGTCCAGAGCATCACACCCACTCCAACGGCTTGTCTTCTTGCCACAGGGCTCATGAAACCAGATGACCTTCTCCATTTCCTCCAAGATCTGGTTCTGATGCTCTGTGCTCATTGTAGGTGCTTCCGACGGTGAACAGAGGTTAGGATGGGCCCTCTGACAGGTTTGCGTCCATGAAGCCTCATACACAGTGGGGTACGAAGCAAAATGTGTTGTGACACATTCCTCTCGTAACCTTGTAACCTCGTAACAGACTTGTGCCACAGTAGCGCTTATGTCAGTCTGGACCAGAAGGGATAGTCTACATTGCCCTTGCACATCAGTAAGCCCTAGGCACCCAACACCCTATCACCAGTTTGTGGTTTGTCTTTCCTTGGACCACTGTCGCTGCTGACCAGGAGCACCCTGCTGTTTAACGCTGTGCAAACCTCACCTGCATGAACTGACCCTCCTGATGATACTGCTACTGCACAGACTCAAACTATTTAATCATAGTCATAGCTTCACCTGCTTTTGCATTTTCTGTATTTTAATAGTTTACAATAATGTTGAAACCTTATCCTCTGTTCATATTGCTCTTTTGTTATTGTTTGCTATCCGGTGTTGACCAGAGGAGGGTGGGTTGCCCTTCTGAGTCTTGGTTCCTCTCAAGGTTTCTTCCTCTTGCTCTTAGGGATTTTTTCCTTACCACTGTCACCACTGGCTTTCTCACTTGACTGCATTACACACGGAACATGAGGCCAATAAACTACATGAAAACGCAAAATATTCATTCAATTTTTTTTTGCATCAGAACTAAACACATACGATACAATGTGATTTTTGAAGTCTTTCTTTTTTGTACGGATGAAAAAATTAGCAAATGGGCAGAATGTCATCAAGTAACAAATAGATCCTTTACTTACTAAAATGGGCAAGCAGTAACATCTGGGGGGGGGGCTACTTTTCATTTTGGAAAAAGCAAAAGTAAAATAGAGAGTTTCACTGCCTTATTCAGGACCTGAAACTTTATGAGCACTTTGCACATTAGCTTTAATGTCAGTAACTCATCCTGAGCTGCTCTTGCAGATGCACCACATGTAACAGAAAACAAACTAATCCTTTTGACATTTGTAAAAAGTTTCAGTCACTGGGAAACAGCCAAGCAGTCATCTTCGTTGTTGTTATGCCAACAGCAAAGACAACCGTGAGTTGAGTGAGTTCATGTCGCCTGTTAAAGTTCACAAAACATGACCAGAGTGGAAATAATGTTGCATTTCGCTTTACAAAAAATCAAGCTTGGTGTGCAAGATGCAGTCATACACACAGGTTTGGAAACCCCAGCTCAAATTATGTTTTGGTGATTTTCAATAATAAATTAACACATCCTCTATGGAGAACACACTCCACACATTTTAATACATAACTGTTTATTTGCTAAATTTAACACAGGTAAAAAATAAGGGAACAGATGGCACATTTAAATTTTATGTTTTTTTTTCCCAATATGTTAAATTCAGCAAATAAGGAGAAATCATGCACTAAAATGTCCAAAAAAATTTCCAATTTCCAAGCCATAATTAGGTTTGTTCCCTGTAGAGGATGTAGTAAAAATAAATAAAGAAATAGGTGAGTAAAGGTTTAAATATATGTATTTTGAGTAGCTATGAAAAAACACATTTGTGGGCAGAGCACTGCTAGGTCTAGTAAATGTTTCTGGAGTTCAGAGGGTGTTAAAGTGTGTGCTGTGTTCTGGAGCTCTGACCTGTGTGTACGCGGTAGTGGGTCTCCAGCTGGTGTTTGAGACTGAACTTCTTTCCGCAGCCGTTGCACTCGTAGGGCTTCTCTCCGGTGTGGATGCGCTTGTGGCCCTTCAGCGTGCTCTCGTCTCGGAAGCAGCTCCCGCAGAACTCACACTCATAGGGGTGATCACCTGTTCCACAGACAGATCATACTCATTCTCACTCACAGCACTCTGCATTACAACTGATAAGATGAATTATTTGTTAAACTTAAATATTAGTTAAATAATACATAGTAGTTACTGAATAATTTGTAATAACTATAATACTAAACCTTGTCTTCTAATTCATTTGATGAAAATGAAGTACTGGAGCGGCATGGGTCATTGCAGAGGTTACAGTTACAGTATTGATGTGATGAGGCTAGACAGTACTGAGAGTTAAGACTGAGAGGGGTAATACAGGGCATTTTGGTATATGTGCCTATTGAGCAAAGGGCTATTCTAATGCCAATAATCAGTGATAGTTTGATACAGTACGTGATGACTGCCTGTGGCTGGCTGCTAATTGCTTTGCTGCTTTGCCTAACAGCTTCTTATATCATTTTCTCAGGCAGCAGCGCGGCGCTCGGCCAGCCGTATAATGCCGCCGATATTTAATGCATTTCAACCCAGACGCCCGCGCTTTAAGTCATCAGCGGTGACCCATGCTTTTCATTATCTCCCTGTCCAAGTGGCAGCCGTGCCTCGGAATAAATTGCATTTCTTGTTATGTACTGTCATGCTCCAACTTAAACCCTCCTCTTAAGAGACAATGCAGAAAGTCCCAGAGCACATTTTTCTTTTTTTTTTCTCTTTCTAGCCCAGTTCACGGCGCGCCATTCACATTCAAATCCACTCTTAGCAGGAGCGGCAGCCTGAAATGAATGGGTTTTTATCGGAGTGGAGAGGAAGAGCGGGACGAAATCCCGGGAGAACAGATATAAGATGATAGATAGAGTGGCAGTCTTTAGGCATCTGTATCAACTTATCAGATGCACCTTGCGAAAAGCCCTCCAGCCCGTCTGTCATTAAAGTTAATGGAGCTGAGGCGAGCAGCCGGTCGGCCAGACTCGTGCCGCCACAGGCATGCTAATGCGCTAACGCTCAGCCCTGTGAAGATTCAACACACGCTGCTAACGCCAATTACCCACCTTATATGCAGTGCTAATTTCTAACAGGTTAGGGGCTTTGCGATACATTGACCCAAATGGCGTTTTTGTTTGACGCGTACTTAAAGGCTTTATCGCTTGTCAATAGACCTAAATGTATTTCTGGTTGGCATTGTGGCAGAAGACATGAGCAAACACACCAACAATTTCCTTTTGGACACAACAAGAGCACAGGACAGAGTGTAGATTCAGTCCCTGTAAGGAAATGATTCTGAAAAATGTAGGCTCCCATCATACAACAAAAAAAGGAAGCTCGGACAAAGTGGCATGAAAAGGCATGAAAGGCGAAGCTCAGAGGAGCTTCAGAGAGCTTTCTGTGCCATAAACAATCCGGCTCGCTCCTCTCTGTCTGCGCTATCAAACACAGCTGTGAACATTAGACAGCCGCCACTGTCTGCAAATGGCCTGCCAGTGAAACGGAGAGCGAACAGCAATGGCATATTAATGAGAGGGCGCTACACGTGCAGAATGTAGAGCGGAGCGAGGCTCCGGAGCCAGACACGCACAGCAGTGCACACTGATGTGGCCAGATGTGTGCTCTGACCCTCTCAAGCATTCGCCACCTCTCGCACACCACAGCCACCAGCAAGTACAATCACCTCAGATAAACAGCCTTTTTCCTACAAATAACATGTATAATATCATGTGACCATAGACTTCCATTTTTATACTTACATATCGTTGCTAGGATCTTTAACATGATAACTTTATATAAAAAGGAGGAAAGAAACTTTAATGTATGGTACTGTGCAAAAGGCAAAGGTCACCCTTCATTTATACATTTCCAGTCAAAACGGCCAGTAAGTACAAATTATTTGTCTTTCAGCATGATGAAAAAAACAGCAAAGAGAAAATTTCACAGAAGCCTCAACAACTACACACAATATCATTTTTTTCAGCACTTACTGTGTCCACTCTTCGCCTTTATCACAGCTTCAAATCTTTTCGGGAGACTTGCTTTCAGTTTTTTAAAGAAATCTGCAGGGATATTTTTCCACACCTCCAAAGTTCAGTCTTAGAAATTAGTTGTATTTTCTGCTTCTCACAATCCAAATAATCCCAAACACATTCAGTGATGTTGAGGTCTGGATGGTCGGTCCATTGTTCTGAGAACACCAGCAGCATTTTTGTGTAATTTGCAATTTGTAAATTTATTTCTTTCCTTTTCTCAAAGGCTTCTTAACAACTCCACATTCTTTCAGACTCATGGTGTTGAGTTGTCTTCTTACAGTGGAAGGATGGACAGAAACACCTGTGGATGTTTTCAGATCTGCTGTAAGAGCGGAGCTTGCTTTTCTCCTTTCTCTCAAAGTTGAAAGCTTCAAGTGCTGTTTATCTGATCAGTTTTGGTGGTGTATTGGGTCTTGCATGGTTGGTAGACGTCAATTTTCTCTAGATCTTTTTTTAAAAAATCAGAAATATCTCCTGAAAATAATTAACTTCATGGAGTTATGGAATAACTTCCAAAGTCTGGGAGAAGGACCATGCATGAAACTCTTTCTCCACATTCTACACCTTATAAATATCCCACCACCACCCCATCCACGCCCACTCTTCCATGACTGTTCTCTCTTGCTAAGTGAAGGAGCGGGTGTCTGGCTTCCTCAATCACAGCCAAGCCGTACCCCTCCTCTGTTTCAAGCTCAGTTTGGCATGCGGTCCAAACATGCAAAATGGCTGTTTTGACTGGAAATTAAATAAATGAAGGGTGGTCTCTGAACAGGGTCGTATTCCAAGTAATGTTGTACCATTTCTATTGGCCTATTCATCATGAAACGTTCACACAATTTAAAAGGAAGCTGGTTAAAAGGAAGCTGTCAGTGTTAAAAAATAAAAACAGAAAAAAATAAGTTTTGAGGTTTTGATATGACAACGACGATATATTGTAAGTGCTGTTTGTGTGACACATTTCAAGTGTTCACCAAACAGTCTATTTGAAATATATTTTTCAATGTGCATGTAACCAAAACCCTTGAGATTTTGGTCAACAATGTCCTATAAACTGATCTAAAAAACAAAGACAGAAATTTCTTTGTGCTGGAGAATGAGAATAGCTGACATTTACGCAGACAGCATGAAACATCAGAATGTCTTTTCAGTTATAGCACCAAAGCAAGAGAGTACACTGCGTCAGAGTCGGTCTGGAGCGCATACATACATAATGGCTGGGCTTCAATGTTTAAAAAAGCAACCGCTCCTTCTTTCTGTCCCCCTCTCATCCAAAATTTACATGTCGAGTCTAAGACCTCAACTGTCTCTGACAATTCCACTGTTATTCCAGGTCACAAAAGCAGAGGAAGACACTCCACCAAGGAAAATGGAACTCAGTCAGCTGCACAGATTGCCTCTTGCTTTCTTGTTTTTTCTGAGATTTCTAAACACTGACTGCACCATGAAATGTGGACTTATAAACTCAGCGATATGTGAGGATCATTAACCATCCTACACCCTGTGTTTTACAGAGGAGATGTTTTATTATGATTTAAATTTCATGAAAAGTTACTGTTGTGTCTACAGTCCTGCTTTGTGATAAGAAATAAATGTCCCTTATGTGTTTATCATGTTGGATGTAAATAAAATTCTTTATGTAGATAATTATGTAAAAAGTAATTACTAGGGATGTGCACAGATACTCGGGCACTCAGTTAACGGTTTGAAGTGTCAGGTATCAAATACTGAAATCACTGTCCGGGTACTCGTTCTGTTACACAGGAAGACGGACAAAATATACAGACTAACAAGTCTATAAAACGCCACTTGTATATTTTAACAGGACTGTAAAATGTTACGCTTTTGCTCATATTTGTGAGCAAATGTGTATATTACACTGTGCCTTCCCCGGAACATGAATGCCTGAACGTGGGCGTGTTGTTAAGGACGTGATTGATAAGGCAGATGTAGCACAGCTTTATTGATAACTAGGATAAACACTTTAGCTGATTAGACAGAGCAGCTGATTAGCTAAGTCCAGAAACAATGAAAATATATTTCTCTGACAAACTAATACATTGATGAATCCACCACTGAGGAGAAAAGACTTCATGTAAGACAATGATTCTCCACTGGGATCAAGTGCTGTACCTGTTAGCTGCAGTATTAGCTCACCTCTGAAAAGCCAGCTTCCGTTAATCATATCTCTTAACACGATCCCTATCACCTAAAAGAGTAAGCCTCTGGCCGTATGTTCTTTTTTTAAACCTCATCCACAGTTAACCAGATAGCCATTATGAACTCAAATATCAAAAATAGTCGGATTGCACACCCCTAATATGGGGGGGGGGTGGCGGTCAATTTCTCAGGGCAAACAAAGTCACATGATGTTAACAAACTGGGGGGGTAAAGGCTAGCACATGCTTCCTCCAAGGCATGTGAGGCACTACCACATCTTTTCGAACTGCTGCCAAAACGACATCACTGGACAGTTCCACAAGCGTCAGCTAACAGATGCCCACGAAAGCCAATTATGTTCTCTTGAACTCCCAGCATCCCCAGGGATCAAACTCACATAGCTAAGCAACAATAATAACTCTAGACTTCTAAAGCTCAGTTCATGCTTATCTGATTTTAGTATGTTTAAAAGGCAGTTCAATCAGTGTGAACTGTCTGGAGTTTAAGAATGTTGGATGCTGGCAGCTGGAGTGTTAAAAACTGAACATGTACAGTTTTAGACCCCAGCTTTAGAATGTTACCTGCATCACTTCTTCACTTGGCCAATCAACAGGCTTCATGTGGCCCTCTGCAGGTGAGCAGGTGTCATGGAAATCACATTTTTCACCGCTTGAATGGTGTCAACAGCTTAACCATCTGACAAAATGTGGATGGCATAATATGGGAAAAGTTTAGAAATGCCTTTGTGTTTTTCACCTTCAAAACCCACCCAAATACCCACTCCAAACTCTAAAACAGTTTCACCAGTCTTGGTGATAACCAAAGGCTTGATGGGAGGGATTGACTGAAAGGAAGGAAACCAGAATAACTGAAAATCTTATTACTGAGTGACTTTGAAGTTGAAACGGCAATGTGAAACCGTTACTCTTTAGTGGTCGTTTCAATGTGACCACCCACTTTTCTTTAAAACAGCTGTCCACAACATTCTAAAACTCTGCTGTGTTGTCTTGTTGGATAAAAGTGAGCTGGGCCTCAGGGTTAAAGACCCAGCTGGTGGTGAATGTGGAAGCGACCCAAGGACTAATCATCAGTCATGTTTCACATCTTTCTGAAGACCTGCAGGTGGACGGAGGCAAGAGTGTTTAGAGAGGGGCTCACCTGTGTGTGAGCGGAGGTGGCGTTTGAGCGCCGTGTGGCTGGGGAAGGTGCGGTCACACTCGCTGCAGATGTAGCTGCGCACACCTGCATGAACCTCCATGTGCTGCTGCAGGGCCTTCTGAGTCTGAAAACGCTTTCCACACAGCAGACAGAACACAGCCATATCTGAACCTAGAGAGAGAGAGAGAGAGAGAGAGAGAGAGAGAGAGAGAGAGAGAGAGAGAGAGAGAGAGAGGGAGGGAGGGAGAGGGAGGATATTCAGTGCTCAAATTCTACAACATACACAGCATGCAAAATTATGACTTAATTCATTTCAAACAGCTATGTAATTAGAAATAATACAGTGAGTGAAGCAGAATGAATGAAATGAATGACAGCGCACAAGCTCTATACACCTCCACAGTCTCTCTCGCTCCCTCTCTCCTTCTTTAAAACTGAGCAGTCCGGTTTCTCTTGCTTCAGTCAATAATGTATCTTTCAAGTAAAGCTGTCTCTAATTTAAAATCTATGTGAATTCCCAGAGGTGGGCTCATGAACAGTAGGCCAAGATTGACTTCCCACTCAATCAATCAGCGTTTGCCTCACAGCTCGGAGAAGAAGAGGGGAAAAAAAGCCACAATAGCGCCTGAGACACATAAAAATCAGCTTCTGGTCTCTATCACAGACAGCCTGCCAGTAATGGGAGTTTTGTGCAAATGCACTCTGACAAGCCCCCCATCCCCCCGCCCCAAACCCCAACTCTTCTTCTTCTGTATTCCAGTTTAAGGACAGACATTGACTGAGGCTCATCAGATCACACAAAAGACCTAGTAAAAACCTAGAAACAAAAAAGGGGAAGTATTTATTGCTTCTTATTGCTTACACAAATACAGAATTGCACATAAATGTAGACATTGTTTATGTAAGTATGAATTACTTGTTATTTCCCATTTTTGCTTACACAAATTAGGCCTTGGCTGATATATATACACTTCTTTGTTTTCTTTGCCAAAAAAGCCACAGAAAAGACCACAGCCTAAACAATTCTGATCTTTATTTGTAGAGACACATCAATCTATTTGAAGATCTTTTCAAGCTCCTTTATTGCTGGTCTTGCTAACTGCCAATCTGTGTCACATTTCATGACTTTGTTGTTAACAACTGATCCAAGTAGGTAAAGACTGTCCACCACTTTTACATCTTCACCATTGATGGTAAAGTTATCAGCTTTTCTCACTGTCATATCCTTTGCTTTCTTCATGTTGAGCTTTTCACTCTTATAAGGTCCTTACTGGATCCTTCATGAATGGCAGTTCTCTTCCAGCATAAGACTCTGGTCTGTGCTAAATAATCTTAGACATAATTGTAATAGTGCATAATATAAAGAAAATTATATGACAGTTTGCATAGTCTTTACTATCTCCTTTCACTGGAACTGGGATATAAACTGACATTTCCAATCTGCACAGTCTTCTTCGGAAACTTGAAATATTTCCACTGCAATGGTGTTCATTCTTATTGCTTTCTATTTTGGCAATGAAACAATATTTAACGGCTTGTTTTACATTGTAACCAAGAGCTTTCTCTAACGTGAAGGAGGCCAATCACTTTATAGAAACTGTTCTACTGACAGTCATATTCACTTTGACTACAGTAATACAGGCTAGATTTAAAACAAAACAAAATAAGTCCATTCAATCCAAACATTTAGCATGAGGACATCAAACAAAAAAACTTCTCTGGCCAGAGAACTGGAGAAAACACGACAAAGAAAAGCTGTTTCACAGAAACCAACACTCTGCTAAGAAGCTCCACCATCAGCACTACGTAATTTATATTTTTCAAGACTTTTTTAGTTATTTCTTTTGTTTATTTGGGTTTAAGAAATGATGATTTGGAGCTGATAATTTATACTTGACAACTAATAATCATGTCTGTCAGCAAAGCACTGTTTATCTAAAACAACTGGAGTCTGTTTCATTAAATCACATTTGCTGATGTTTTCAGTTGTCCAAATTTTTAACTCAGCATACTGTATCATTCACAAAACGTTCATACTGGTTGAACCCTAATACAGTGTATTACAGCTATGCAGAAATACAATTAGATTATTAAAAAAGCACCCATCTTACTAGGAACGCTACAGAGAAGCGACATGATTCATAGTGCTGTTATATGCGACAGGTCACAAGCAAACATAGCATCAGCTCTTTGCTGGCGCATTAGAAAGTTTTCATTTGACAGAGCAAAGAGGGCAAACCGGTACGCGGCTTAGATGTGTGAGCTGCTCGCATCCGGGGGGGTAAGAAAGGAAGACAGGCGTAAAGCTATATGAGGCAGGAGTGCTTCAGCTCCCTACCCGCTCATGTCTTTAGGAATAATTTACCTCTACTACTCTATCTATTTATACCATCTTTCATGCTCCTCTGAAAGCATGTAGCCTCTCTCTCTTTCTTTCTCTCACTCTCTCTCTCTCTCTCTCCCCTCACCACACTCCCAGCAGAGCTTTAATGGGCCTGAAGTAGCTGACAGAGTTGCTTAAGCTGGGTGAATGGGGCTGTTAATGGAGCTGGCTCCGCTCACAAGGCAAGTGTCAGCCTGGGTAGCAGCAGCAGCTTCATACAGGTTTCTCTCCAGACCCTGCACTTTAACAAAGCCTTGCACAACCCAGCTCTCTCCCACTGAGTCGCAGCAGCACATGTGTATCAACAAGTGCTACTGCTGCTAGACCTGACTATGATCATAATACATGCCAATTTTTGCAACAACTGCAGTTCTCAGAGCTTCATATAATACAATAACTTTCACAGTGCAACTAAGCTTTTCCTTGACTCCTTAAATGTCCAGCGTCCAAAATTTAATAACACTTCTAACTTAAGAATAATTCAGCCTTTTTTCTGAGGTTCACTTTCTGTTTGTGTGTTTTTGAAAACAGTCACAATTAATTTTCCATGAACATTTACTAACCTCTCTTTATCCCTTACAATTAAGCAGGCTGTTTTTGTTTCTGTACCTTTAAGACTGATATATGTTAATTACTTCCATTGTTGTTGGCTGCCCTTCATTGTGCCTCATTCATGAACCAGTTCTGTCTGTAACTTTAGCATGAAAGCTGGACAGTATGGACTGGAGAGTAAAAAGTACATTTTGAAACTTCAACGATGTTTATGTACTTCGTCAAGCTCTTTTATTAAAAAAAGGAAAAACTGTTTTTTCATGATATGAGCCCTTAAAGATGCAATGTACAAATTTATACAGTCATTTGTCACTGAGAATATATACAGACAAGCAGAAACACACATTCTCTGTAAATATATCGCCCGACAATGTAGTTTAGTGCCTGCTACTCTGTTTTTTCCTATAAAATATACAGTATTGAACAGAAAAGAAGTTGCATTGTGTAATATACAATACCAATCAAAAGTTTGATTTTCCCTTATTTTCTTACTGTTTAAAAGACAGTTATGGACTATGTAGTGACCAAAAAAGAAAGATGATATCTGATATTTCAGATTGTTTAAAGTAATTTAACACAGTCTCTACACACCCTCCCTTTGTCTGAATGCTAAGCATTGTTGTTCATACAGAGACCTTAACTTCATTTCTTGCATTCCAAGCATTTAAACAAAAGCCTTTACATTAAAGTGCCTTTAAGATTATGAAAAGCAGTCATTCAATCAGGTGTACCTAGACTTTTGACTGTAGGTGTAAAAAGTATTATGTCTTACTATGTTTAAAAATCTACATACAGTTACGTGCTATACTCAGCCTGGAGGAGCCTCAAAGCCTTCCTGTGTGATGAAAAGAAGAGATAGAGAGAAGGAGCTGCTGATGGGAGGTTGAAGAGGCGTCAGAGGTCAGGGGAAGCAGGAGACAGATGAGATGAGTGTGTGTGTGGGGGGTGGTGATGCCCCTGCTGGGCAGGAACACAATAAGGATTGAAGAGTGACCAAGCTGGAAGACACACTATTGGAGTCCTGCTGTTAGCTTTACTGAAATACCACTGCACACAGTAAAGTGACATTAGAGCACCCAGGAGAGGACACAGCTGAGCCGTGCCAGTGGACAGGTAATGTTAATCTGAGCTGCGTGATTGGACAGGTTACATTAGACCACACAACAGACCCAAAGTCGAAGACTCAAATCATACAGAGACATTTACATTTATCACCTTTCTCTTTTCTGCTTTGATCTGTTCTGTTCTACACAGATAAGTATGTAAAATATGTAAAAATGAACCTATGCATCGATTTTTAAATGTTAAAGTCAACTATAATTAACTGATCTACCTACCCAGTATGCAAAATACCCTCTGTTATTCAGGGGGTCCATGTTGGCTCGATAGTTCCGCATTGGCTGGCTGCTAACTCACATACTAGCCTTAATGGCAACAGAGGTTTGGTTTAACAGTTCTTCTTCTGGAAATGCCCTTTTCTAATATGGTAATGCGCACTTCCACACATTGACTGAGATCTTACACATCTCTTTTGTCTTTGGTTTGAGAAATGAGTAAAAAAAATCATTCTTTCCACCCAACTCTTGGGAAAATGGGAAGGTTTTCAGATTTACAAATATGCTACTCCATATTGTAAAGTTTTCAGAGGTATCCCGGGCATAGTTACAGTTATTACCTGGGTGAACCAGTTTGCTACAGTGCCACCCTGTGGCAGACCAGAGCTGCATCCCTAGTTAGTTAAGACTACAAAAACAGAAGTTCACTAACTGTGGGAGAAGCAGCTAAACAATGACCTTTTCCTGAATTTGCATGTGAGTGTCTATTTTTCCCTAACAACACCATAACACTGTAAGTTTATTTTCAGGGACCCCCCCAGAATTCTGATTCTGAGATATTCAGGTGGTTCTAGAGATTAATTAGGGGATTCTGGACCCCCTTGGACCTATCGAACCTTCGCCTGCAGCGGACTTCCAAAAACTACTAAATAACCCAGGTGTGAAAAGAAACTCAAAATATTTCATTTATCTTCAGGTAAATAAACAAGAAGTTAATTTCAAATGATATTTACTTTGTATGCATGTGAAAGGAAAAAAGATCATTTTTTTGTCATGAAATCAAACATTTGCATGGTGGCAAATTCATTATCATTTTCAACCCACCTAGCTAAAGCTGCAAGTATTGGGGACTTGGAGACCTCTCAGGTGGAAAAGTGTAACTGCATGGAATGTTTGGAAGA